AGGTGGTCGGAAATACCTCGTTCTTCTTCCCATCCTTCACACCTTCGGTAGATACAATGATATCCTTGCCATTCCGGCTTGCAGATAAGACTTTCGTGTTGAGCTTGAAGGTGAGTCCTTGTTTTGTGAGGACCTTTGAAAATAATTTGCTGATTTCCATATCGATTCCCATTCCACCGACATGTCCGAGGTACTCGACAACGGTTACCTAAAGTTAAGAAGCCCAGATAACACCAAAAGAACAGGTCAATTAAATACAGTGTGTGATCTAACTCATGAAACGTGATGACGAAAATTGTGACGACGGATTCCGGGCACACTATTCATCCGTCTAGTCCGTTCCGAAAAATGTCCCTTTTGCATGCAGAATATGTTAATAAATAACTTTTTCAGTGAAAATGTCTACAAATTTAAGCGGACAGTTTCCTACGCTAATAGCTGTCCTGGGGTAAGTTTGCGCATCAGTGCGCGCTTTTCAATGTGAGGAAAGCAATCTAAACTCGAGTTCTACCAAGCGAAATTTGCCACACTTGAAAACTGCTTTTTTTCTTCACGTAAATCAGATTGATCAGGGTGTAGGCAATGTTGTTTTTAGAAACCATGCGTTGCATCAACCCCAAAAAAACAGATTCGCGACTGCGATTTCATGAGAGAAAAGGCAATAATAAAACCTTTGTTCATACGTTTCGACATTTTTCTGCTGTTTGAAAATACTCAATAACTTGCCACAAAATGGCTCTTTAATAAATGGTTGTTAGCTTTTAGGCATATGGTAGGATATTCCTCGTGTGTGCTAGCTTCCCGTAGTGCGTAATTTAGAAGCGGTGCAGACATAAGATTAGCAGACTTTGTAACACCTTAGTATTTATATGGTCACTCTGTTGTGCGTTTACAATTGTAGAACAGGGCCTAAAAGTAGCCTTGACAGCATCGCACTCGCCTGGGTCTACCTCCTACGGTTTTGACTGACTTGTGTTGGCTTGCGAGTGATTAGCAATACCTTGTTGATCTCGGCACATTTGATGAGGTGAGTCACAGGAAGTAGGAAAATATCATTGGGGGTGAGGAGGAAAAGTACAAAGGCCCTCGAGTTGAATACATCCCGTAGTTTGTCGCCCCTCTACGTGTCTGTGTAAGACTGGTCGGTCTCCGTTATGCCCCACACGGTGTCTTCGAGTAAGCAGTTCACGCAACGGAAACAAAACGCAAAGAATGCGGGACGTTAGCAGTTACACGGCCGTATAGCTCGATTTTGGCCTGACCGCTACTAAAATGGTCTGCCATGCGGTGTGTTTGGGTTAAGGCGGTGGCGGTCTGTAAAAAGGTCATCTTGTCTACCCACGAAAATATACGGGTCGTCCGGACTTGACGCTTGCAAAAGTATCCGGTGTACTCAAAACCATCTTTCATCATGCAGACTAAATCACGATGCCGCTGGAAACGCGCGGCCACACTTGCAATCCAACGAACGACGTTATTTAAAAGATGTGATAGCACGCACCCTCGCAGAACGTCCGGACGATGTTAGAACGTTTGTAAGGAATCAATGTAGACCACGGTACAGGACGAGTCGAGCAGTCTGAAACTTAAGGAACAACAATGGCAAGCTGACCACCTAACTCTATCATTAGCTATAGGAATTTGGGGTGAACAAAGTTGAAGACTGAAAACGCATGCGAAGGAAAGTAACAACAACTGATTTCCATAGCGGATTTCAAGGGAGTATTCAAACGCATGTGCTAAGTCGTCTAAATTCAGATCTAAACCCGGCTTGATTAAGCCCTTTTACCACAGAAACAATGAGGTTGCCAGTAAATACGCCGAAAGTGGTTAAGTGACATTGTGTGAGTGCACTGTGGTTCTCAGGCTTCGTCTTGTCCTCCCTACCTGGGTACAGAAGCAAGGACGGACAAATACTAGTTATCAGGCCAGGTTTGATCTTGCAATGGTCACAGATTGTCTAATGGGATCATGACGAGTGTCAAGCTCAGAGAAACCCGGCCCCCGAGGGGCGGTGGCGTGTTATTCACTAAATATGAAGTCTTTGGTGTATTCACGAGGCGCCAACATGTAGAGTTCCAATAAGGGGATCATAAGTCAAGTCGCGGACAGTCAGCGTAAGAGCGTCCCAGAGAGCTTGACGGTCTTAGTTTCTGTTCTTTCTAGGGTCAGAATTCTCATCTATAGGTTTTCACTAGACGATCTTGTTTCACAAAT